TTCTTCACATAGCAGCATTATTTTCATTTCTTTACCGATTTTCTTCCGAAATTTCGTAAAAGAATGGAAGTGTGCGTAATTTATTTCATTTTAGAAAATTCGGCAAAAAATCGGATGGGACCTTTCCGAATTCTTTAAAATTTCTTTACGATTCAGAATACTCTGAAAAAATGGTTTGCAGGGAAGAACCACAATAATAAAAGTTTAAAAGCTTGCACAAATTGCAAAAAAACGAATCAAACTTCAAGAAATGGTCATCCAAATTTTTAATTAGAATATTTAAAAAATTTTCGGGTATGCAGTATTGTAGTCCATTCAATTATAGTATAAGAAAGTGCAAGTTTCAAGTTGTTAAAAATTACCATTGATTTTATAGATTTTTTTTTTGTGGGGGGGTTGCTGTTTTTTTTCATACAAAAAAAATTGTGATATTGTGTTATATGGAAGAAAATGCGAACACCCTCCACAAAAAAAATTCTAAAAATTCAACTGTAATTTTTAATGACTAGAAACTTGCACTTTAGTGTACTTCATTGAATGGGCTACAAAGCTGCAAATGGAAATATAAAAATTAGCCGACTGCGCATGCATACACTAATGCAATGTAATGAATTGCTACAATTCATAGATATGTATATGTATGTACGTATATATGTGTATGTGCATAAGTAAATATATACATACATACATACATATGTTTCATTAAATTGTAATGAAATAGTTTTATTGAAAAAGTTCCACTTTACATGACTTTAGATAATTGCGGAAAAAAGTCGAAAAAATGCCATAGAAAATCTTATCAACTTAGCTGAAATAGAAAAATTCATACATGTTTGCAAAAATCAATTTGCAACAATCAGCAAATCGATTTCACGCAAATATCATATTTTCGGCAAGCAAGCAAATGTACAAAAGCCCGCTCCTTTCCCCGTTTCCCGCTTCTTACTCTACACTTGTCGTTCTGACTTCCATTTTTATTTTAGAGTTTGTTTTGATCCGACACAAGCACGCGCCTGCCTCCGCAAGCATCCCCTCTGTCTAGTGCTTATTATATTTCTGTTCCTCTTTCCATTTTGTTCTTATTTTTTCATTTTGCTTTGAACTATGGTAAATTTGCTCAAAGTGTGGTGGCACGGAAAAATTTTTGGTATGGTGGCAGCCGACACTTCTCTACCGACACCGTCGGTCGAGTGGTGCACTCGTCGACGTGTGGTGTATTTGGCCGACTGCACCCCAAAATTTCTGGCAGAAATTAGTTCACAGAGAAAATGCGCCTTCTCAGTTATAAACGTTCTCTGCCAATACACTCTTTTATAGATCAAAAATAAATTTCACTTAAATATCGATATTGCGGGTAAAGTATCGATGTCTTCGATATATCGAACTTAGAATATCGATTCAAAAAATCGATTATCGTGCCATGAAATATCGATATTCAGAATAATTGATACAATATCGAACATTCCTAGACTGCGGTGCTGTCTACCTTCAGAAGGGCTAGGGACACGATACCGAACAGAAAGTATCGATATGGTACTCATTTAAAGTTTCGCTTTAAAAATATCGGGTACCCATTAATATCGGAATAAAAAGACTAGATATTCCAAATATCGATACCAAAATCCAAAAAATTTATCAGAATATAGGTCTCGTACATGAACGAAAGACACAAGATCACGCCTTCCCGAAAGAAAGAAAAAAGTTATTTTTTAGCTGTTGAAATCTCGACGCCATCTTTGTTGTAAGAAGTAAACAACGAAGAGAACAAAAAAATCCGCGTAATTGTTGAACGCATGAATAATCATTTTTATTATGCAAATTCTTCTATAAATCATGTCGTTGTGTTAAATTATTCTTTACCTTATGTGTGCACACGTTGTCACAAGCGATAATTAAGAAAATTGCAGTAAAAAGCCACAACCAAATTGTAAACAACGTACAAATGTAAACAAACGGCTAATGTCAAAGTCGCCCAACTTTTTGCCTAAATGCGATTATAACGGGCTACTAAGAAGAAGGCGTGATCTTGTATTTTTGGTTCATGGGTCCCGTATATAGGCCGCTGTGGTGTATTGGTTAGAAGTGCGCAAAGTTTGAAAATGACAAACAGCTTCCCATTAAAACAAAATCGCCGTTGAAAGTCGACATAAAACTGTAGGGACCCCTTTTGTGCCACAACATTAATAGCCCGAGCTCAATGCAAACGACGAGCTACGGACACGTACTTTTATGTAGATAATTATTTTGGCGAAGACCGGGCTTAGCGACGACTGTGGTTGCGTTCCCACGACATCGAAATATAGTGCGGAAAGTGCAAGTGTTTTTTGCAAATAACTTTTCAATTAATTAAAAATCTTAATTTCATGTCTCGGATTGTTATTATTGGCGTTAAGACGCGTCGATTGATACCCCTCTCGAATTTTTTCCGTCCATTTTGACCTACCTTCGCTAAAGTGCACTTTTACCGATAAAACTATGTGTTTCTTTAATAAATAAGTTAAATTATATATTTTAATAGTGTTTAAAAAGTGAGAACAGGTGATTTTGTGAATCTTTGTTGGTGTAATTGCTCATAGAAAACAACGAAATTTAACAAAAGTTTTTTGTTCATAACTTTTAAATGGTTAATAATATTAGCCCCCCCTCCGGATTGTTATTAGGGGGGCCGAAACGCGTAGTTTGGTACCCCTCCCGACTTTTCCGCACCTTTTTTAGGGGTTGTTACCCGACCCTAGAGAATTACCAAGTACTTGATTGAGATCTTCCTCCCCAGTGAGTATCACATGATCAATCAAATGACTATCACTGTTCTTGTAGGGTATCAAGTAGAAAATATCGGTATGGAATGCCAAAAGTATCGATATGGCATCGTATCGTATCGAAGTTCGTGTCCCTAAGAAGCGCCATCGCTAATTGTGTTCTCATTTATGTAAAGTGTGAAAGAATTCATATTCAAACATGTGTTCGTTGTTGAAAAAGGTACATGTAGTGCAACGACGCCATTAATTGTTTGATATTAGCAAACGATTATTAATCAGCATATGCAGTGAAATCTTTGGAAAACTTGGAGCCGCGGAAAATCATTAACTGTACAAAGAAGTCTACAAATTTCGCAACCGCGTGCAGCTGTATCTGGTTTAAAATATACGAAATAAAGTCGATAGTTAAATAAAGTTCCCTGTATACACACTAAATTTTCTATTGAAAGGCGGTACTTTGGTCATTAATAAATAATGAAGTACATTTTGGTTACTGGCGGTGTTATCAGTGGCGTTGGCAAAGGTGTTATCGCATCATCCTTCGGAACCCTCTTGAAATCATGTGGTCTTAATGTGACATCAATTAAGATAGATCCATACATCAATATAGATGCAGGAACATTTTCGCCATACGAACATGGTAAGTTATTAAACAATGAATTTTTATAAAAGCATATGTATATGCAGTTTAGTCTGCAAGTTGAAGGCTACAGCCAACGTCATCACAATAGATACATGTACATACAACACACGGATATTAACACTTTACATATACATGCGCTCGAGTTTTTGGCGAGTATGCAAAATATTTTGCTGTGATGAGGTTGTTTTTTGTTTAAGTCTATGTAAATATGTAATAGTTCTTAAGCGCTTTTTGTTTTGTTAAAGGCAAAGAAGTAAAAAAAAAAACTGTTGTATGTTGATATATACAGATGTATGTACGTACATGCATATAGCTATCTGCATTTGCATCCGCAAAGAGAAAATTCATAATGCGCAATGCTTGATCAGATTTTACCGGCAACACCGTATTACAGCTGTTATCAGATGTACGTGTTCTAACGGCATTACTAAACCCCACCTAGGTCGGTTAGTAATCATCGTCACGCTCAACTAACGGTAGGCCGGAGAAATACATATGTACATTGCTGTTTCGCCGGGTTTTGGACCAGAAGGATATCGGCGTCCTGTCTAACCACGCTTGAATTCATTTCAATAGGGGTATTCTCTGAGTCTTGCAAAGCCCTTGCATGGTGCACAGATCTAATATGAAATAAGGGGTACTGTTTAGTACGTGGCCTAACTAGTATCGAGGTATTGAGTCAAGGGTTTACGCATTATTTTGACACTCACTTTTGTAAATTTTAGTCACAAATTTATTTACAAATTGGGTTTGAAATATACCCTTTTTTGTAAAATTCGGAAATTAGCGCACATTTATCATTCCTATTCTCCTTAAAGCAGCCACTTCACCAATATATTTTTGTATTCCCCTTCACTTTACACTTTACTCGATTGGTTATAACTTGCTTTATGACTTTAATATTAACCATATATGTAATACTTCTATATTGGCAGTAAGCTAACTTCTCAATGTGTAAGCATTCCGAAATCAAAGCTAGACAGTCTAGTACTGTTTTTCGTCGGACCCGGAGCGATGCGCGAGCTATTTCAGCCGGCAGTTCATACTGCATCCTCCGGTGGACAAAGCCAAGCGTCGAGTGACCAGAAGGCTGCACAAACTGCCAACAACTTGTGCCCCCCTTGCTTTCACTTGCGGTGAAGTTCAGGTGGCCATCGGGAAGGCGAAAGCCTCCAAAGCCATGGGTCCCGACGGAATATGCATGCTGATGCTGAAAAATTTGGGTCCTGCGGGGGTAGCG